GGGGGGGGGGGGATTGAATTGAATGATCAATTATTCGACCCGGACGCGCCAACATTTGCTTCGCAAGACAAACTCAAGGTATCCCCTAAAGGGCTACCTTTCGTGACCAATGAGCAGCCCTCAATGAGCAACCCACACAACTCCAAACGCACGAGCAGCGCATGCTCCAATGTCCTGCCTTGATGGCTCGAACCGGCGAAGCCCTCCGACAGCGACGCCGCGGTGTTGCGCTTCCTGCGGAGGAAGAAAGAGGACGCACACGGGATTGAACTGGGGTGTCGCGGCAGGAGCGCCAGAGCGCTTTTTTCTTTTTTTTCGGGGGGGGGGGCGGGGGCGGAGGGGTTGACAGTGATTGAAGTGCCCCAAACAGCTTGCAGTGCTGATTGGCATGACTTTAAGCCAAGCAAAACTGGAAGCCAAAACCGTGGAACACCCGCCACGAAGCCACAAGTCACCCGCTCTTCTCTCGTTTTAGCAACGGGCCTTTCGGCCGCCAGATCGGGAAGACTTACGGTTCGCAGGTTCATGGCCGTCGTTCATCCGGGCACATTGTGAGGCAGCGAAGGCAGCTATGCAGCTGGTGTCTGTGATTCTCTGTATCTAGTCAGATCTAGCCATATCAGATTTCTGACTTTAGCTGGTGGACTGGGTACAGTTGCAATGTTACAAATGTTCATTGACTGCTCTGTCGCTGCCTCACCCTACCTACTACAACCTGTTTGAGCCCACAAATTAATTTGCAGAGATCCACCCCTACTCTTTTTTCAGAAACGGTCAATAAAAATGATCAATCGGGATAGTCAGACGATCTGCTTGCCGACTTTTTCCGCAATGACGAGTCATTGCCATGCAGGACAAAAAGGAGCGGAAACCAAACGATCCAAGTCTTCGACTTGATGGCTTCGTACCGCACTTCTTCATGCACGTTCCCATTGTAAGCAAAGTGTCTTACCACGTCAGAACTAGGATGGCATCAGAACTTGCCGAATCAACTTGCATCATGCAAGAGACTGGCTAGAGAAGCCCATCTGCTGACAAAAATGGGCGTGGGTCAAGATGAAATGACCCATAGCAGGAGTTAGGTATTGCCATGGCTTTGCTCTTTAGTAAAGAGGTCGTTTCACAGAATTTGCTCTGGATGGTTTCACCTCCTTTCGCTGACCCACCCAAATGAGGTCAGCTATAATGAACTTCTCGGAATTCCAAGGGATTTTGATGTCTTCGATGCCGACAACAGCCAAACGAGACCACGACCACAAACCACGACCACAGACTGCTCGCGAAGACTCATTTGATTCTGTCTGGTCCTAGAAAATCCCTCCGCGAGCATTCTCATCTGAGCGCTTTCGTGCCAGCCGATTGGAGTGTCAAAGCAGGGTCCAGCTTCGCAGCAGGATCCTGCCAATGCAAGGTGTCCGTGCAAGATTGGAAAAGGGACCCCTCTCTCTCCTTCTCTCTCAGCAGCACTGACAGGTAGGATCCGTACGCCACTGTAAAGCATGCCAGGTCGGATCAAAACAATCCAACAATCCACCAGTACTGTGGGCGCTTCACAAGGGAAGTGAACATGAATTGTACAGGTGATAGTGGATGCCAGTTGACCTTGAAATGTCACATGAAATGTCACGTGCAATGGTCCGGGCTCCCGGTGACAAGCTGCATGGTCCCTTGCTGGTGATGAAAGGCTTTAAACATAGCAAATACCTGGAAGAAGAACATCTTGTTCCAACCCAGGTAGTTAGCGCGCGTTTCTTTCTTTTCTTGGCTTGGGATCCCACAAACTGACCGGTGATGCTCATTGGAGTGCTTGGACGTCCTGCGGCGGGGCATCCCACAAAATGCCGATGGTGATCATGCTCCTTAAAGGTGGATGGCACGTCACGAGAAAAGGCCAAGTAAACTAAGTAGTGTGGTTGATTCATGCAACGGACCCGGAACGGATTCCAAAGGTATTTGTTTCTGTCTTCAAGGCCAGCACTGTTTCAGTGCCTTTTTCTTGTTCTTCTTGTCACTGGGCAGGCCTGAGATATGAGCAGATCACTCGGATTCAAAAGACCCAAGCTTGAAGAATGAGTCGGGGTAGTTTCTTCAGACATGCGTTGATGTTGGTGATCCCACATAAATAGAAACGGCTTTTCCATGCTTTTCCATCTAGATGGGGGTCAAAACCGGAACCTTGGTTGATCGTCGAAAAGGAACCAGTGGGGAGCACCCACAGCCTATCCATCTAGTAAATCACTTCAGTAGTTTGTGAGCGGAATCAAAGGGGCTTGGAACAATGGTCCCAGGGCGGTGGGCACCAATTTTCAGAGTTAGAAAGAACTGATATAAATTACTTTGAAGGTAATTCTTGTCCATTCCCGTTTGGCGCAACATATGCCAAAGTGTTCAATCAAGTTAATTCTGTTCAAGCCCGTAGGTGGGTTGTTGACGTGTAGACGTCTGAAGAATCCAATTTGTTGCAAAGTGTTTTTTGGATGCCTTGTCGCATGGCTCTGTTTGGGGTATACCTTTGCAGACTAGGAAACTAGCAAGGTTTGACTCGACCAAGGAGGATTTAGACTGTCTCATCAAGGCCGCAGGTATGGTCAAAATTGGGTCCTTTGTGCGGCTTTGGTTTCGTCGACTTTCAGAGTTCCCTATCAATCGGCCTATCGTTTGCGGACGTTTGGACGAGCGCGTTGGGCCGCAGATGAAAAGCGAACGCTCGTCCTATGCAACGCTCGTCCGCTTGCAATCGCAATCATAGCACTTCGGCACTTCGAACAGACAGATTTGGACCAGGGAGCGTCGGCGCGGTCTGATCAAGGCAACTTTTTGAGAAATTCAGATTGAATTCTCCAACAATTTTCTTTGGGATGTCTGTTTGGTGTATACCTTTGGGAGATTAGGGATATATAGAAAGGTTTGGACCAGGGGGAGACGACAAAGAAGCATGGACAGCAGGAATTATATCTGGAATTAATTCGTGGCAAAGCAACTGCAATGAAAAAGATGTTTAAATCTAGAGGGAACCAAGACACATGAAATAAAATACAGTATATAATGATATAAACTCTGGAGTTAATTCCTGGAACAACCATGCCAGCAACCCCAAATGAAACGAACTAAATCAAGAGCTGATTGTTAATTCTTCTAAACTCTGAACGTGCTCCATTTTCAGCCGTGCTGCTCAATGGAACCATTCCCTCAAAGCCATTGCAGAACTGTTCCACCTCGCAGGAGACAAACGGCTGTTGCAAATAGCTCCGACATGCTCGGTAACACCCCTAAAAGCTGGTCCAATGATAGCTGGTGCCTCCAAATATAACTTTGGCATTGGGCCCCCCCTCCGAATTCAGTGGGGGTGTATAGCGGTTCCCAAATAGATAGAAACGGTTTCCAGGTTCCAATACATTTTTAGTGGGGTTTTACTTGTCTATCTATTTGGGGGCTTAGACTAGGGGTTTAGCACTCAATTCTCTTGCTGTTTCGGTGTGTAGCGCTCTCCGGCCTGCACGACGCCGGTTCCGATCAGGTCGTCCGAGCTGTAATGGTCCTCGGGGGAGGTTTGGGGGGGGTTAGACCTTGGGGGGGGAGAGGTTCGAGTGCTGAGAAGTCAATGGACATTGGACATCGAAAAATTATGGTTTACCCTAGGCAAGTGCAAACTGAACATGAAAAAGAATTCTATCTAAGTGCTGCGTTCAAGGCACATAGTCCCAAACTGAGATTTCCAAGGCCACTTCCCCGCTGTATGGCAGATAGCCTGTCAAAGGCCACTTCCACCGTCGATCGATCGTTGACATCGCCCAGATGTCCGTCCGTGTCACGCAGAGAATCACTGATCTGTCTTCACTCAGACTGACGCGGAGACCGCCAAACGGAGACCGAGCCGGTGGTCTGTTGCGCCTTCGCAATTCCAAATGGGATCGCCGCCAGCATCTTGAAGAACACTCGTTCCTGGGCGCATGGCAATGGCAAGGAAGGCAAGCTGCTTTCAGTCAAGGCATGGCTTGTCCGAAACTTCATTGCGGCAAAGGTGCTAAACTCAGCTTTGCTGCCTCGAAACCTTGGGAAAAGGACCATATTCTTAGCATGCTCGAAACGCTCTGGGGAGCCCCCCCGACCAACGCCCCCCTCAAAAAGTTGAATCTCGACGAACAATACCTCTTTCATCCTAATGATATGGGAGAGAACGCCCATATCATCTCATATCCATATCACCTGACATATGAGATATAATATGGATCCAGCTTGAGATCCAGCACCTCAAGATATCCATATCACTTGACATACCTGTCCGCACCTCAAGATGGCATATGGATCCAGCTTGTCGAACCATCCACCGCCGCTCAGGTTGAGGGCATTCCGCACGGTCACCAGTGCCTGACAGATCTGCGTCGATCCGGACGAAATGCAGGTGTGCAGAGGTGGCTTGCAGGTGTGCACACAAAATGCGCCAAATGCAAATGAACGTGCGACCAATGGGTTGAGTTCTCATGTGTCTATAGGTCTTGTTCCTTTCAACAGACTACCGGGAAGCCTTCTCCCTCAGCCCTCGGCCCGCCCCTTCGGGAGGTGCAAGACTTTGCAAGACCATTCTTCCATCATCTTCCATCTTCCATTTAAAAGCCGCTCAAGAGGCACTTATATAATGTCCTGCCCCCATGAAGCGACGTACCAGGCAACCAAACCAGGGGGACTCTGGGCGTTGGGGTCCAAAATGCACTGGTGATCTTCCATGTCAGAGCAACAGCCCACACTCCTCATGCCTCCGTTTCCGGCGCGCCCGTCTCGCGCCCCACCAACCGCGTCTTTGTTCGCCGCGCCTTGGCGCCGCGGTACGCGACGCGGAACCTGCTGGGGTCTACCGCCTCCACGACCTTCGTCTGGAAGACACCTACCACGGTCGGCAGCGCAGGACGGTTCCGTGGCACCCGAGCAAGTGGCGGTTGGGGGGAACTTCGCACCGAAGGGCTCCCAGTGGGGAGTGAGGGGTCTCCTAAGCCTTAGCTCCTTCCCGGGCACGAGCTAAACCAGCTCCACGAGGCCACGAGGTGAATGAACATGGCGGCCGATGGTCGAGGTCAATAAGATCTAGACGACTCTAGATGACTCAAAGACATCTTTAGTTAGTAGTCTCGAGGTCAAAATGCGTGGAAGATATGCAGTGAAAAGCAACACCAGCGCTGGTGAACCGGTAGCGCCCACGGGTAAGGCCCGTGGGAATCTCTGCCGGTCAAGGCACGGCCTTTCGGCCTTCGTTTCGGTTCAAGGCCTGGCCTTTGGGCAGTCAAGAAGCAAATGGCACAAGTTACCCCAGTCGTTCGGTGGTTTATATGGACGTATATGGACCTGTATATGTCTATAGGATATATATGGACCCCCTATAAGGACCATATAGGTTTATATATGGACATATATGGACCCCATCCAAAAAGACAATGTAGGTCCTGTTGCGAGCGGAGCGAATAGCAGAGTGCGCCTTTGCGGAAGTTTTCGGTTTGGTCTTCCGTCTCCCAGCGTTCGATGAGCGACTTGATGATGCCCTGACCAGCGAAGCTCCGGTGGCTCTGACTGTGGAAAAGGCCCACTATTCTCCATGAAGTAATACTCATGCTTTCGTGCAGTTCAACACCTGTTTGGTATTTGGCGAACCATGGTCATGCGAAATCGGGGCCATGCCATCCGCTGCCATGATTCTTTCAGGAAGTCTAAGCCCCCACAATGCACCGCTCACCCTCTCTCTCTCTCTCTCTCTCCCTCTCGCTCTCTCTCTCTCTCTCTCTCTCTTCTCCTCAATGCTTACGAAGAAGTGGATGCCTTGATGGTCACCTGCTTGTCCAGCGTCGAAAGACGGCAGGACTGCAAAAACTGTTTCTCCTTCTGGCTTTTCTTCACCTGCCCAACCCACGTCTCCAGTGAATTAAAAAACATGAGGACACTGAAAACCGCTGGTTTACCCGAATTCGACAGAAGATCAATTGGCTCCAAGCTCCCCACAAAGTCCATAAACCTCTTCTTGGAAGCCTGCAAGGGTTGCAAGCGTCTCTAAGCTGTGGCTTTGGGCCCACAGCTCGTCTATGATTGAAGCTGCAATCTGTTCCTGCTGTCCAGGTCCAGCCTTCAAAAGCACGATCTTCTCATTTGCACCTTCCACACCCCCAAAAGAGGGACTGCAAACCACACAACGCTGGCTTCCAAAGCTTCTCTCAACATCTACCGGGTAGACACGTCTTTTCTCGTCGTCTCTCGCGGTTCCTGGCGTTCGGGTCCGGACTGTGGGCTCGCCGGGCTCGCCTCCTCGCTGGTACCCGCCGAAGATGCGGAAGTTCGTGAGTTCCTGGGATCGCTCCGCTCGAAGAAGCGGTGTTTCCACCGTGAGTGGAGCATCACACCGGGACGTCGTCGTGGAGCGGTGTAGATCTGCAGGGTTTAGATCAGGGTCTTTTTGCTTTTAAGTTAGTATATTATCGTAAATTGATTTGTTGTTTTTCTTTTTATACTTCCATTGAAAAGGGCCGAATGGATGGCCCGAGGAGCCCAGGGAGGCAACACAAGAGATGGAAGAGTCTTGTAGCAGTTGCCCTTCCTCCAACAAACATGGAAGTGGACAATCCCTGTTTGTAGAGGGAAATGGTCTTTCCAGGGGCCACTGTCCACTTTCCATAGTGGTTGGACCAGTGGTTGAGAGCGGGCATCTATTGCAACTCCCGATTCCACTTGCACTGCACTCCACCCTCCTCCCACCTCCGCTTGTTGTGCGGTCTTTTTCTCATAAAATGACCAGGTGCCAAAGCAAAGGCAGTCTGACTGGCTGCCCCTTCCAAGGTTTTCATGAAGACTGGTCCCAGCCTTGGACCGAGCAGGAAGGAAGGAAGTTCCTCGCTCCCTACCGCCTCGACGTTCAGAGGTTAGTGACACACAGGCGCAGGTCACCGTGGCACAACAAGAGACCCGTGTCACACAGCAGGAGCGAACAACTCGTCGTTGAATGTACAATATGTTATCGAAGAACTCATTTGTTGAGAGCAGGAAGACTGAGCTCGAAGCATGATGGTTTCATGACCCCAAGCATCCAGATTGTCCAGACTGAAGAGAACCTGGTGAGGGAGCTCTGCCAACTTCTCCCCAAGCTGACTCTTCCAGACTTGTCCCACCTGGTCCGGCCAACTTTTCTCCTTAGGCTTCTTTGTAAGGGCACTGATCTTCTCATAATCGTACTTGACCTCAGGCATCCAAAAATTGGAACATCTATGAACATCTCATGGAGATCGAGCCACCTTCCTGCTAACATCTTGCTCACCAAGTCACCCCAAAATAGAGCCTCCCTGCAAGCTCCAGCCTCGCTTCGATTTCATGGTGGCTAGCGAAGGAGGCAAAAAATGCAACCAGGGGTCAACATCGTTAATCATTCATCTTTCTTGTAGCTCTTGGCCCCTCACATCCTAGTGCTCAAAAGAAATGACTAACATTCTCCCAACTCCCAACCGTGGGTGCAAGGACACCCTACATTGTTGATGCCCCCATCAGCAGCTGCTGCCACGGCAGTCTGTTCTGTGCCCACCCAGTGCCCACCCAAAAAAGGCACACCCATACACGCTCTCTACGGTCGAGTATTACATACCGAGCGGCATGTGTTCATCATCTTTGGCGGCTCCCAAGCTTCGCTTTGGCCTCATCAGGTCCACCTTGCCATACCAACCATCATACCTGGGCGAGGCGAGGGGCGCCACCAGTCCCAGCGCCGCGGTGGCGCGAGTGGACCACGGGTCGCGGCGTAAGGCCCAGCGACAAGTCAGAGACCTTGACGGTGCAGCTGCCACACAAATCATCCGCAGAGAACTTGTCGTAGTCCATCACCTGCCCAAAGAAATAATCGCATGGCCCCCGATTTGGGATGACCCGGTGTCGAAGACGTCCTCACTCCACCACACCAATCTGATTGTTTCACGGGGTGTACCGCGGAGCGTGGAAGGAGAGAACGCGCTGGGGGGGATCTAAAGATGGCCAAGGAGCGATGATTTCCAGTTCCTTAGATCCGCCGGAACGCTGCAAGCGAACGCCAAAGAAAAGCATTTACGGCCCTCTTGAGCGCCGCCGAGCATCCTCCTCATCTGCATAGGTCAGGACACCCTGATACCTGAACGAAAGAAGTGCCGACTGCCAATGTCCAAGAGTACACCCCAAACAGGACAGTCAAATAGAAAAGCAAAAAAAAAATCTCTAAATAGTGGGTCCACTTGCCAACTCAGGTGCTCGAATTGCGGATTCACACCGACATTCCACATCACTGGGGTCTGAAAGCGCTTGAACTCGCCCAACCTCGGCAAGAAGGAAAAGGAACGCCGAGTTCCCCCTTTCGAACCTGAACTGTTTGGAACCTTGCCGAAGCGTTCGGAAGCTGGCGCGGTTCCTGATGCCGGGTCGTTGGGGGCTCCCGGCTTCACGATGCAGTAGGGATCGAGCTTGTCAAAGATCGAATCGCCTCCGCGGATCGGTGTTTGGCACCACAGGCTGTCTCGAGACATGATGCTTTTTGGAGGAAGCTCGTCCAACCCGAGTAAGATATATATATATATGTCTAATGATTTGTCTATATACACTGAATATACTTGAATCGCTAATTTGGGTTTGTGAGTGTGAGCTCTGTTGTCTGCATTGTGGTCGACAAGCGTTTCTCCTTCTGCCACGGATAGTGCAATATTGCAATCTCTCGCAAGGGCTAGCTTCCACTGTGGGTCTGCCGATGCTTCCACTTGTGGGCCGAAAGGCAACTCCCAAAACGGGGATTGTCCAGGCACTAAATCAGTGGCTTAAGGCCGGGGTGCGTCCTTGATGGTTCGCAGCTCGAGAAGCATGCCGTCCCCAGCATCCTAGGCTCCAGATCAAGGTCGAAACTAGTCCAAACAGACCCCAAAAAACAAACATCACATCTTTCAAGTCCAAGGTACGCCTACTTTTCGTGACCAGCAGAGCCAACAAAAAAAAAGGTCTATATTATATATATATATATATTCTATAGTCACTATAGTCACATGGCAAACACGGTACATATATCCGGTACATAACACGGTACACCATCGCTGAAAACCATTTCGGTCTCTGCATCAACCAAAACAGGGTGATTCTTGGCCCCGGCCCATTGGCAGCCGCCGAGTCTCTGGTGCAAGTGGTTCCTGACCTCCATACAGTGTGAGGACAGGCCTTCTGGCCAATGACAATGGAACCAGTGGCCTCTCGGTCTCGTCTAAGAGCCCAACGCCCCAGGAGCTATCTTCATTGATGAGCAAGGTAGGTCCACGTCCAAGGCCCTGCAAAAGGTTGCCACTTTCTTTCTGTTGTTGGATTTCAGGAAGTAGCAGGACCTGGACGTTCAATTTGGGATCACCACTGCCGAAAAGAAGATTGCCCTCAGGCAACGGAGGCATGTAGGCTTGCATCTCTGGGGACACAAGCTTGTATGGCCCTCGTTCTTCAAGCCCAAGCTTCTTCAGAAAGTCACGTGTCTCCTCAAACTTGTTAGGTTCAACGGCTAAGGCAACCAGTTCAATTGGATCTCTGCGGTCCTCCACATATGCTCTCACTTGAACTCCTGCCGGGGACTGCACACCGTAGTAGCCATAACCATCAACTACTGCACCCCCACTAGATACGACTCGAGAGATTCGTATCAAAGCAGGGGTGGTCAATTGCACAAAGCTCAGTCGAGCTTTGTTTGTGCCAGATGCCTGGACTGAGGTTGGGGCATCACTTGGCGATATTTTGATCGCAAAGTATGCACCCTCTTCACCTCCAAGACTGGGTGGACCAAACCCAACCAGCACCGCCCCATCTGGAAGCGACTTGTACCGCTGCATGCCCAGCGCCTCGCACCAAAACTTCTCTTCCTTCGACACCTCGGAGGTTTCAATCGCAAGTTGGGAGACCAAGCGTGCCTCTGGGCTCTTCATCTTCTCTTGCAACTCGGCCATGTAAGTGCGATTCAACTCCAAACGTGCCAATTCATTCTTCCAGAAATCCACCATCTCCGGCTCACCTCCTTGAGACTGTCCAGGCTCAATGGTCTGGCCAGCCTGCTTTTCAGCAGCTGCCAGGCGCTCCTCAGCTGCTTTCAATTGGACCTCAGCGTTCTTCTTGGCGCCAACCGCAGGGCGAGCTGGACAGTTGGTCGCTGCATCTATGATCGCCACACATGTCGGCGGTGATAAGCGCCCATCCCTGGCACTAGCAAGGCCCGGAAAAGAGCAGGCCACCAGCAGCAATGAGGCACCACATGCAGCAATCAAGTTCTTCCAAGCATCCTTCTCGTCTTTCTCGTCCCTCCGGACGGACCCATCTGCCCGTCTTCCAAAAAAGCTTCGACGCACCCCTCCGGGTTGTCTCTGCAGGTCTGAGGCGTGGGGCGTCGTAAAGGAAGGAGACCCCAGAAGTAAAGCGCAGGCGGAAAAACTCACTGCGGCCAGTGTGACATGCGCACGGCGCTCCTTTGCGCGCATGATCGAGAACAATGTGACTCTTGCAAGAAAGGGTCTCGGAGTTCCCCGCATGATTTCTCTTGTTGGTTTGCCATTGTCTGCCACCGCAATTCGGTGCACTAGCTTGTGAACACCACATCCACAGAAAATGCCCTAACTTGCCGCACTTCATGAAACAATGCTGCTCCTTGAATGCTCTGCGGCGGCTCTGCGGGGAAAAGCCAGTGTGCAGTCGCGCAGTGCAAACGGAAATCATCGGAAATCAAACCCTGAGGACACGTAGCTTCCCAAGATAACCCACGACTCCCAGAACAGCCTCATCGGTCCAAGGTTCCCTTCCGGTTCATGTTTCACGTCTTTTAATTGCCTCTCAAAAAGGGACTGAGCACCGCAGAGAAAAACAAAGAGCGCCTGCCCCACAGGAGAAACTGCTCCCTGCTGCACCTCCCTGCCACACCGCCGCACCTGCGAGCTTCTCGGCTCTGTCGAGAAAAATGCCTCAAAGCAAGTCTCCAGTCGTGGCATGACACACCAAGCCAAGCTGACGCCCATTGCTACCACGTACCATGACTTTGAATATCTTTGAATGCCATGACATACGACAGGCTCGGGAAAAACGAAGCTCCGGAGCGAGTGAGAAAACTCACCCCAATCATGCGACCAGGCGGCGCATGCGCTTCTTCTTGGGAGGCAAGACATCGAGCCTCTCTGTTAGCTTGATGTCGCCCCGAACTTCAATGCCTCGGGTGGCGTGAAACCGGTTGGTTATGTTGGTTCAGTCAGCTGAAGCCGATCGGATGGGTCCAGCAACGAGTGAAGCAGAAATCCATCTGCAAGGCAGGCTGCTGCCTTTGGAAACCATAATCACGCTGCTGTCAATGGGCTGGTCACTGAGAAGCTCCTGACAGCAGCAGCAAAGCACAGAAGACCAATAGCATCCAATAGGATCAATAGGTGCTAATCTGCACAATGTGCAATGCAATTTTAGACTCTCCTGGCCCGAGAGCAAGTGGAGTTGAGTGGAGACCTTCCAAACGCACACCGCAGGAGTTGCATTTCATGCTTGCACGGAAGGGCGATGGGTCAATGCAAGGCGTGCATGAATCCAGCATTGCCTTGGCCAACTCCTCCAAAGCATGCTTTACGGCGCCAGACTGCTTCTCCTGTGGGCTCACACCAACTCTGATTATCTCTAATCAGACTGAGCAGCTCGGTCGGCCTCGAGCAGCTTGGTCTTCTCCGCAAAGCTCAACGATGCCTGGCATGGCCCAAAGCAGCTCGCCCGGTCGACCGGGCGTGGCAACCCTCGAAGCACCAGGGGCCCGGTCAAGACCAACCAGGGGGGTGCGCGTTGCTGTGAGACACCCCCCGCACCCTGTCTCACTAAGCACTCTGTTTGGAGACCAGGCGAAGTGTTTGCAACATCACTGAGCACCCGACGAAGTCCACCTTGCCATTTACAAAGCCTTCAGGGAGAACCTCAGTTCCAATTCCAAGATCACAAGGTGCACACAGAACTACTGGCCGCTCCCAACAATCAGAAGTGATTTCGAATCATTCCAGCCACAAAGATTTCAATTTCAGTGTCCAAGCAGCTACACGAGAAAGTGCAGGTGCGTGCCGCATGCTCAAAGCAATCTTGCGATTTCCAAAGGCACGGTCTGCATACGCTGCCTGCACACCGTTCTCACGGTAACCTACCGTTCTCCAAAGTGAGCGTAGAATCCCCCGATCTCATAGTGCCTGTGGTTAGAGAAAACAATGATCTGGACCGTTTCTGAAAACACCTGGTGAGCAAGACTAAGACTCTTAAACCTTCAACATCCTTCAACCCAATGATGATCGAGTTCTACCAGCCCTACCAGCGCCCCCTACCAGCCGCCCCGGACCCCACCCGGACCTACGCCTGGTCTGCGCTGGGGCGCGACCCCGCCACTCAGACTTCGCGGCCCAAAAACGCGCCTCTAACACTTCGGTGCCAAGAACCTGAGAAAACCCCTAGGAGCAAGAAGCTACGAACGGAACAAGGGCATCGCCACGAACGGAGCAAGGGCATTACTACTAGTAGCTCCGACTCACTAACATGGAAGTGGAAAACCTCCTGTTTGTAAAGGAAAGAATTCTTCCAAGGGGTCATTGTCCACTTCCATGTTAGTGAGTCAGAGAGTAGTAGCTAGAAGCACCATAGATGATGCCAGCTAGAAGACTTGGCATCGACACTCAGGCCGGCCCCGAGGGCCTACGAGGGCCGACCAGGTCGACAGTACATTTGATCCAACCGATGGGTAGAGGGGTCTATTCTCCGAACTGGTCCAGGGAGGTTGTTCCCCTATTTCAATACACACACACAAATGTCATCAAATGTCTTCAACGAAGTTTGAACGACCCTGACTTCCTCAAAAAGACCTACAGTGGACCTTCTTGAAAGGTGGTCAGGGGCATGTAAAAGGGACACTTCAATCTACAAGATTCTACAAGTGTTTCTGTCGTTGTGATACTTCTCATTGGTGAATCCCTCTGGCACAAGAATCGAAAAAGGAACCCAGCCCAAGGGCCAATCTCTCCGAGCAGCTCCAATCACACATGGCTCTTCACACTGGGCAGCACCACCTACTGCGTCCAGCATGGACTCATCGCCCAGCCTGTCAGTTGCGTTTCGCGCCCGCTGGCTCATGCGGCTGGCTGGCGCATCAGTGGTGTGCCCGTTCGACCCCGCCTGAAATGCTTCTCTCCAAAGATGGCTCCTCTGCCAATCTCTTGACGTTCACCCACGCCATTGGGATCTAGGAAGAGATTGATTTTGCCTGCCATGTCGATCATGGACAACAGGGCCGTTTGCGAAACTGGGACTTGAAACCTCAAACGAGTCGGGGACTGAGACACTAACCCATTTCCTCCACACCCCATCCACATTCCGGCCTGCCATGAGCAGAAAGGATCTGGAACCTTTTGGCCAGGCTGCTGCCAGCTGATCACAGCCGAACAGCCAACGGCCAACAGAGAGCCTTGCGCAGCATTCCGTGTTCCATAAGGCATGGCTGTCGCCAGGTATGAGGCGCTTTTGTCTTTTTCCTTTTGAGATTGGTGCCCATCTTGTTTTCAAAAACAACACGTCACACCATCACTCTTTTAGCCAATTTGTGCATGTGGGTGGGCCAAACAAATATGCATCATATATATATAATATATATATATACCCGTACACAGTACATAGGTATTTTTATAGATATACACAAGGCCGCAAACAAGCCACAAAAGGTATGATGTGGAAACTAGAAGTTGTGCAGTTTTACAAGTAGCAGTGTGCTAGAAGTTTTCTACTGCAAAAAACAAACACGTTAAACAGGGTCGAAAAGACATATCGCAAGCTTGATTATATAAAACGAACAATGTTTTACGCACACAACCAACGAGTTGTTTATTGTGTTGCTCAAGTCGGAACAAACAATGAACACCTTTGAATGGTTTTGTTTGACAAATAAAACTGTTCGAACAACCAAACAACCCCATTTCGTCTTAGGTGACCCCATGGAACTTCCATATGTCCGCCTCAGGAAAGGCATGGCACGAAGCAGCCTGAGGTCAAACGTGGCAGGAAGGTGACCATGAGTTTAAAACGTTTACTTGATGTAGACTCCCGATCTTCTTAACAAGTGCAATTTAACATAGTGTCTACGAGTACTTTCGAAAGTGTAACAACGACACGCTTGACGTGACGCAGTAAGGGCCCACCTATCTAGCTGGACATCATCGAAGCGCTGAAAGAGGAGAGGGTTCAGTGCTCGGATATCGCCAGCAACTGACCTTGGCTCCCGAATGGGTGTGACCCCTGGGCGCCCAAGAGATCATAGATACACGAAAAAGCCACGCCCAGTGCAATCTCACCAGCCCAGCTGCTTTTCTAAAGACCGCAGCTCCATCTGCATCTTCTGTGGCACTCTGTGGCCAGACTTCTCCGTGTTGAGCACCAGTTGTCGGCACCTCGTGGGGATCAAAGGGACGCGCGCCAGCGCGTCACCTTCTCGTCACATTTGCCATCAACAGGCCTACTTCAAGTTCCCCTACTGGCTGGTCTCCAAATGGTTCGAGTATACAGTAATTGAATCCGTGCATCCTCTTTGTGCTTCGCAGGCTCTTTGGCCTGCTTCGCCGGGACTCACATCCCGAAATTGCTTTGGTGCTTCGCCCAGTCGGCCTGTAATAAAGCGGCAGTGTGAAATTGAGCCCCTTTGAGATGTTCTCATCAGCACCTGTGGAGGTCGACGTCCGCGACGGCGCGAGTGTTCGAGTGCCAAGTATACGGTACCATGACTGATCCAGGAGGATGCCCCACCTAAGAAAACAAGCAGGTCCTTTGAAGGTTGTCTTGTCTTGCTTGTTTCACGGCCACAATGCAAAGCGGCCACTGGTGTCCTGCCGTCCTGTGATGTTGTGAATTGGGTTCAGGACCATCCCAACCGATCGTGCGAGTCCACGTGGGCCACATGACTCCAAAGAAGCTGCACTTGTTGGGTCACTGCAATTATTTACATAGAGAATTACGGAAATAATTATGGAATAATATGGACTATACATGCACAAAGTAGGCAAACATGCCCATCAGGAGGGCAAAGCGGTCTTTTTCTCCGCTAGGAGCTGGTCGAAAACAGTGTGGAGAAGGGAGCCTGAGTGGGCCAGGGACGCAGCAAAAGGATGCAAGCGACAAAGCGAAATCCATGTTTCCCCACAAAGAACAGGACATATTAGTAACAAGTGCATCGCTACTAGGAACAAGAGCCTTACCAGTAGTAACAAGAAGCTATTAGTAACAAGTGCATCGCTACTCAGCGTTCACCCCTACGGCCATTGTCATGCCACGCTTAGTCTCGCATAGTCTCGCGGGGGGGGGCCTGCTTCTGATCTGCGAGTTGGAGTTCCCGAACGAGCTCGAGCTCGAGCTCGAGCCGAAGGGTGGCTGGGATTGGAGTCCGCTCACTTTCGTTTCCCAAAAAGTCGGTCTCAAACGAAAGTGGGCTTTGACCTGGCTGATCAGGCTGATCACCAGTCATCTACTGGGCATATGAGTATTCGATTGACCCATGCTGGATGGACTGATGACCCAAATCATACTGCTCCTCAATGTTCAATCCCTGCGTTAATACTATATACATTCAACAAAGGCTCCTTCCTTCCTTCCTCCCTTCCCTTCCCTTCCCTTCCTTCCTTTCTGTGTCATCCAAAATAATATCACTGAATGTTGGTTTTAAGTTCACTGAGCGTGCATGCCAGTGGCAGTGAGTGAGTATGACAAAGAGCCCAAGGTTTCGTTGCGCGCAGCTGCACGTCTTTCCTTCGTTGTCCAATGCAGGACCCAATAAAAGAATTGAAATGATCATCATGATCTGACATTAAGAGGTTTTATCATCCAAATGGGTGGTTATATGATGTCAGAGTCCAAGAGTAAATAGTACAGTATATCTTTAAAATATCAATCTTGTATAGTTTTAAAGTATCAGTATCCAAGAGTCTACATAAAAGAACGCTCAAGACAGCATTTTCTGTTGAATCCCAAGGCACCGGCGACGCCGAGTGTGCCTCACCAATGCTTGGAGCGCACGGTGACGCGCCGAGGTGAACATGCTCAACGGCCGGTGAGGTCGGCTCCACGGAGCGCTCGACGGACGCTGGCCGCGACAGGCTCAACTGGCCCGCGAGGTTCAAGGTGGACGAAAGCCGGTGCGATCCCTCCGACCGCTCGGTGGAGAGCCTCAAGTTCGACTCATCTCGTTCAAAGGGGTCGACATCCACGCGTCCGTCTCCCCACTCGATCTCCCTCACCTTCTGTTGCAGCAGCTTCCGCTCGCGCCGGGCTTGAGCAGAGGCCTCCCGCAATTCACGATATCGCTTTTCCTCCTCCAGCCGCTGTACTTCTGCCTTGGCCATGCGCCGAGCACCCTGACTGTCCTCCGTGTCCAGCTCCGGGCGCGGAGCGCGCTCCGCGCGCGGAGCGTCCTCGCGCCCCTCGTCGGCCAGGGCCTTGCGCTTCGCATCCAAGACCTTTCGGTCTCGGCGAGCTTGGGCCCTGGCCTCCTGCAGTGCCAGAAGATGCTCCTCCTCACCGCGTGGACTTGGTCGGTCGAGACCCTGATCGTGTCGTAGGTCTTGTGGATCCATCTCGGTGAGGTTCGAAATCCGCTCACTTTCAGAATTCTTCTCTAAATCTCGGATTTTTTGCTGCACGAGTCGTCGGTCCCTTCGAGCCTGTGCGGCTGCTTCTTGCAAATCTGCGAGGTGCTGCTTCTCATTCTCTGCGGAACTGGGGCGTTCGAACGTATCATTCAACGTTTCCAGCTGGTATCTAGCTGCATTTGCTTCCATCTCTGCTTGCAGTCGTTGTTGGACCTGCTGTCTGTCACGTCGAGCCTGCATCGCTGCTTGCTGCAAGGCAAGCAGGTGTTCTGCCTCCCTTGCAGCTCTTTCGCATGCACTGTTTGCACTGCTCGCTGCAGACACGGCAGGTTCTGCACTTAGACTTCGTTGCCCTGTTCGGCCCAGCACGCGAGCCTTGGCTGCCAGGGCTGCTTCTCTGTTCTGCCTGTACTCATTGGCCACCCGTGCAGAATCGGGCATGGGTAGCGGCGGACGGCGGCGGAGATCGCCCGACCTCTTCTGCACGTCTTCCAGCGACTCCAGTTGAGCCAAATGTGTGTCCGGAACGTTCTGTCCTCCTCCGGGCATTGTCATGTCGTCCCCCACCACCTCAACAGCTGCCGCACCCTCTGGAGCATAAAGGCTCCAGGCTGGAAGGGCCTCCGCCACATCTCGCAGCGGTGAACGCCCCAGAATCTCTGCCACGCTGGGCCTCATCTCGGGTGCTTTCTGAAGGATGTCCATCACCAACTCTCTCAGCTTTGGGCCATAGAGCTCCGGGTTCAACTCCCTGGGGGTCGCAGTAACAATGTTGTTGATCAAGGCAGCCATGTTGGCTCCGGTGAAGGGTGGTGCCAAGGCCAAGAGTTCATATAAGACCACTCCCATGGACCAGACATCAGCCTTCATGCCATAGGGCTTGCTGTGACACACTTCGGGCGCCAAATAGATGGGAGTTCCAATCATGGTGATGGCCTCTGCAGCTGTATGGTCTAAGACTTTGGCAATCCCGAAGTCTCCCAGCTTGACGGCTCCAGCCAATGTCATGAAGATGTTTTGGGACTTGAGATCCCGATGTAACACGTGCCGCCTGTGGACGTAGTGGAGGGCCAAGCAACACTGGGCAAAGATGGGCAAGACCTCACTTTCTCGTAGCTGCTCGCTGATGGACCTCTTTCGTTTGATGAGTTGGCTCAAGTCTCCGGCATCAGCGAACTCCATGACAATACAAAGCATGCGACCCGCCAAGAAGGAATCACAGTATGCCACAATGTGCGGATGCTTCAAACCCCTTAGAACATTCACTTCGTTCTGGGCCTCGTTCTTCGCAAGAGCAGGCATGCGGGACAAGTCAATCTCCTTGACAACACCTGGAGTTGAAAAAGCGCACAGGCTGGGATGAACTAGACCTGGGGATACCCCACATGCCCCACCTCACAGAAAATGGGGAACATATGGGAACATGGAAAGCCCAAGCTCACCAACATGAAATAAGCTGTTGGCCTCCTTCGTGCCACAAAACGCATGAATGTGATCGCCACACATGTTGCGAGTTCCACAGGCTCTTTCGTTTTGCTTCCCCCGCGCTTCTTTCTAAGGCAAGCGGCGCTGCTGTCGACTGTTTCGATCACGCACCAGAACCGCACAGCCATAAGAGCCTCGACCAAGCTCCCGCAAGCGCTCGTACTTTTCCATTCGACTCAGCTCCAAGCACCTTTGGCTCAGTCGCTGAGGGATAGAGACCCTTCTGCTTGAGCCCAGAGCAGTCAAGATGGCTTGAACTCAAAATCAGGCTCCTAGTCCTATTCCACCGGTTCAACTGGAAGTACACTGGAAGTACCCCAATTCCATGGCTCGCGCTTTCAGTCGCTTTCCCCCAGCCCGGACCTGCATAAGGGTCTTTGCCAGGTCGTCCTGGCAGCCATCCCAAGACATTCCAAACATGAGACGCTCAAAGTGCGACTAGTCCGAGCTGAATACGTTTTGCCCACCATCCCCCAAATGAAGCCCGGCCATGCACGACCTAGTACAGCTGAGAGCGCCCAAAAATGGCTACAGTATATAGATGCCCCTGAAGGTTGACCAAGACCACCAGCCCACGCCGCACTGCGACGGCTGCGTGCCCACGGGCCCCCACTCCTGGCCAAGAGGTTTGAGTTGTGGCGGCTAAGGCTCCAGTGTGCTTGGCTCCAGAGAAGCCCTCGGAGAGCGAAAGTGCGGTGTTCCTCTTCCTGGCGACAAACCAGTGGCCAGGCACACGGTCCGGCCCTTGGGCCGGAGACGGGCATCACACCGTTCCAAAAAAAAACAGCGAACCGCCTCTCCGAGACCAGGTCAGGCAAGCTCACAGTCCGAGGGTTCATCAGATGGGCACGATGTTTTCAGAAGTGTTTTCACACCTGACCTACCATGACATATCAACGGCAACAGGACACCTTGACGCAGTCTATATAGCTAGTCTTCTCTCTTCTGCTGTCAAATTGATGCTTGTCTACAGCTTTCGGCCGCCTTTGCGGCATCCGGCAAGCTCCCCTTGGGGTGAGCTTGAGGAAACCTCAAAACGGCTGAGGTGGTGCTGAGCCATGCCCAAGCCTCTTTGATTCTCCTTATATAATTACTGAATAATGTTTGTAGGAGCCGCTTCCGTCTTTCTTTCCTAAGCCCTCCATTGACTTGCTTGTGTTGCCCACCTATTCTCCAAACTGCTGGCCTTGGGGGCAGTTGTGCAACAAACACCCAATCAAACAGTGACTCGAATCCCCCCCGCATTCCTTCTTTCATGTTTCCTGTGGTTCACATACTGATCGGAATCGCTGATCCAAAAAGCTTTCCCAGCCGTTGGCCCGAACGTGTTACAAGCATCACAGGGGTCACGTCAGGTTGGTTTCAGGCCGCCAGTGACTGGGCACGGCCGCACGAACCGGCGCGCCTCGAGTGTTTAGAATCTGTGAGTCATGGCGCCCCCGCAGAAAAGGCAATTTCTCTTCACGCTGTCTGTGCCATGCAGGGACAAAGCCTTCGGGTTGAAGGGTGCTTCGTGTTGCATTGGAGCTGCGAAATGAAGGTCACCAAACACTGTCCGACCGTCGGCTCAAAGTCATCTGCCACATAGGCTGGGAGTTCGGCACCACTTTGGTGGGCGCAGAACTTGCAACCAAAATGAGCTGTCATGTTGATGCAGTTGTTCAGAAAATGCAACTGTTCAGCTGAGCAGCTCATCCTTCTTTGCTGGCAGACCTCATCACACGACTGGCCCTTGGCACCTGCCATGGGCATCAGCCTGGGATCAGGAGACAGCTGCTCATCAACAGGAAGGTATGGTTTCGGGCTTCTCTTGTCAACCAGCAGAACAACAGCCTGGGAGGTCAGATGTTTTCCAACCACCAAACCGTAGTGCTCCGCACGAACATCCGGGGGAACCAAATTTGCCATGCCTTCCGGCTGCAATCCGAAGGATGGAGCGATGCTCATGTAGTTCTCAAAGGTATATGGGAACACATACGTCTTCCCTGGATCACCTGTCAATGATGCTCTGTAAATGGACCAAGCCTTCCCAGGATGTTCTTTGCCGATTTTCTTGCCAAATCGACAGCAGCGGCAGCCCCAGTAGGGGTACTGGCGAGCGAAACCAAAATATTCACTACATTCCCCGAGGCCAACCAGCGCGGCACAGTCTTCTGGAGTTGCCAGATGCCCAAGATTGATGGCCTCTGATGTACATTCTTGGCCGCTTTGGAACAAGTGGCTTGAGCCCGTCATTCTCTCAGCTTTGTGCAAGGCCGAGTGCATCCAAAACTCATAGGTGTCTTTCAATAAGTAGTCGATGTTCCCAAAGTGGTTGCATGGCCTCGTGCCATCGCAAGAGCTGCTTTGCTGCGATAAAGCCATCAGCTCAAAGTATTCCACCTGCTTCCGCGTGACGATGGATGAGCCCTTCCTGCTTTCATGTCGGCTCCTGGGCACTTCTGGAATAATACACTCCTTGTCTGCTCGGCGGAAGGCGGTTCGCATCCAATAGTCCCATCCCATCGTCGGTGCCGATGGCCACTCTTCCCTCAGCCTTATCCACACCTTACGCTGCAGCAAGAAACCCAGACCGGGAAAATAGGTCGTTCGAAAAAGACGGCACTGATCAGACACCGCAAAGGCAAAGCCTCCATCATTCCATGCACTGACACACCACACACTTGGATCCTCTGCAAGAACCCAGGCAGTGCTTCGAAAAAGTGCTAAGAAATCAGGAGCGACAACCAAATCTTCCTCCAGGAAAATTGCTGCATCGTGTTGCTGCTTCATAAACACCCGCTCAAAAGCAGACCAGTAGTGATGAGCAATCTTGCCAGTGCTGGTTTTGAACCATTTCTGCTGCTCTCCGTTGTCGACCGCGAAATTAACCGCGCGCGGCTTGACAAACCAAACTCCGATTTCTTGACCATAATGTCCGGAGATGTTGATGACCGCCTCCTGCATCTCAGAGTAAGCCGAGTCGTCATCCAAGGAAACATAGACTTGAAAGAGTTTGGCATCCGGCAAACGCAACAAAGAATCCAAACAAATTGATAAATCGTTCTTTCGATTGTGAGCCAAAACAACGATGGCAACATCAGAGCTTGGGACATCTTGCGAAGCAGCATGCAAAGTGCTGCTTTTGAAGGTTTCGTCCCCAAAGAACACACACAATTTCGTGTAGCTGGTCGCCGATTGATTCAGAACTTGGTGCCCAGTCATCGCGCTGCAGTTTGAGGCGGCCTCACAAGTAACACCTCGACACAACCTGCCAAGTTTGACACAATGCTCTTTGGCCTCCGAAAGCACCATGCTTCTCACACTTCCTACAACATGAGAAAAACTCTTCCCATCACATAAGGACCAAGTGCAGGATGCATTGTGTTGCAAAGGCAGTGCGGTGGGAACGGGGCCACGCACCACATTCGAGCATGGCGACACCTGCATTGAGGCGTTGAACCGTCTCACCAGACGTGGCCAAACACGTCTCAAGCGAAACTGCGGCGCGGTAGCATCCCGATCCGGTGATGTAGCTGATGACAACCATTGGTAAAAGAACCCTGTGCATATCAAAAGGCAAATATTCAATCCCACTAGGGCTACAACCATCCATCTCAGTGAGAAAGCTTTCCGGCAACACCATTTGGACCGCCTAGAACTCATAATTTGCTAGCAAAGCAGCCAACATCAAGTGGCAGCGTCACAGATTCGCGCCATTTCGCTCCTTCGGCCACGTAGATAGTCCCAAGCCATCGTCACATGGCTAAAGTTGTCCCACTGAATTGAACTCCCAGGTGAGTTCGACCTTTGCACTAGTGCATTGTTGTAGCTGTTAGCGGATGCCCCCTGTTTTGGGAAAATGTCATGCAACCAAACCAAGCCGCAAAATTTGACAAAAACATACAAGTTGTCTAAACACCAAGTACCCATAACCCATCTTGCGTGCATCCCATTGACCACACTGATCCTTACAACACTTCAGGCCTTGGAACCAAGCGGCGGCGCCAAGCGGCCGGAGCAAACAAAATTTGGATGTGACGGGACAGCTACTGTATATATTTGTGATGTGCGTTTGCACAAAAGCTCCTGGGGCTGCGAAGCTGTGCGTGGTGCAGTGAAAGGGTTTCATGGCACCTCGCCCACCTGCAACCATCCAACTTGCAAACACGACATTATAAACACCAGGACCCGCACCGTGCGCAGCCACCAGTTGTCTTGCAACAAACTGTGCAAAGCTTATAAGCTAAGGCGGCTAAGGTGTATATATATATATACAGTATAGATAACTGCATCGACACACAAACGATAGATTGGAAGGTAGTAAAATGTAGAAGGCGCGTCACATGCACACCAATTATGACTCTCGGTCGTCAAATCACCGTTGTGGAGCCGTTCGCGGTCGTCAAAAGCACGAGTCGGTCTAATCTGGACAATTCTGGGAGTACCGACCGCCAAAATCTGTAAACTTGTGCAATCCATTGCCTGCCTTTGGAAAAACGCATAAGGGGGCCACAAGCTCGCTTCGTGATCAAAGGAACGCCTGGCTCTTGTTGTGCAAGTTAGCCGCAAGAGAAAATACAACTATATGCACCGTCACATGTCCGCAACGAGCCTGAGTGGAACCTGGGCACTGACAAAAACGTTTCGGGTTTCGGGTCAGCTGGTGATGCGTCTCAAGGTGACATGTGGTGATATGAAGTTACGATCTATATGGTTTGTTTTTTGCCTCCTAGCTGGTTGGGAGTGTCCTTGCTGCGAGTGCGTGTGGCGCTGTGTTGCGTGGCCATTTTTGACTTGTTCGCAGTGTGTGGCATGTGGTGAGCCGTGAGGTGGGGAAGCGTCGCTTTCGACGCACCAATTTGGACTTGTCGCTTTCGAGTGGTGTCACTGGGTCACGCAATGTTACTATGCGCTTATGCAACGGGTTTTTGCGTGTGGACCGTTGAGGGCGCCGAAGCAAGAGCGATCAGCCCGGGCTTCACGCAGTACATGTCGGCAAACTTAGGTGCATCTCGTGCAATATGGACAATGTAGTCCGTCGTTTGGACTTGCAGTCCGTCAGCCAGGAATAAGTGGAGTGCCTGGTTCAGTGCTTTCCCCTCCCACGGTGTTGTCGCGCGCACAGCGTTCTAGTGGGAGATTTGGGTTGGGTGTTTCTTGTTACCAGTTTGGCAAGGTGGTTTCTTGTGGCACTTTAGGAATGTTTTGCTTTACCAGTTTCCACCCTGGGTACTGCAATAGATTTGGGGAGTAGCTCAGGCTGCAACAAACACTCGAACCTGTTATTCATCTCCTTAGCCTCTCTCGTGACTCCCCGTCCCTTAGACCAGCCATGGCCGACCTTGACCCGCCTCACTACACATTCGACTCGCAACCAGCGGAAGTTGAGATTGCCAAGGCTATGAGTTTGAGCCCCTAATCCGCCACAAAGGAGGTCATCCGGATCTGGACCTTGTCCTCTACGGGCTGGGCCCTTCTGCCCTTATCCCCTATGTGCGCCATTGTGCGCCAATCGGCTCACCTTTTGGCAAAAAGGAAAGCTGTTTGAGGGACAGCAGGTGTGTGTCCATCGAAGTGGCACTACGTCAGTGCTTCCACCAAAGGAGGCGCATTCCGCCTCACCCATCATCTGCATTACCACTGGCACCGTCATCTCCTACAGTTTCCGCAACATTGCAACCCTCCTACCTTGATGAGTACTCAGTTGCGGACGACTAGGGCAACCAAGCCTGCCCCACTCTTGCCGCCGCCCCATACACAACACGACGATTGGATCAACCCAGACGTCGCTGCAGCAGCTAGGCTACTACCCTCTGCCACGGAGCGGTCGGTTACCACGCACTCTGCTGACACTACTAGGCGCCTCACCACAGCGCTGGCATTGGTAGAGGGTGCTGAATCGA